CAGACTTATCAGCAGTTCTTTTGTGTCTTTGGTATGGTGATTAAGAGTTCTTTTCTTAGTTTGAAGCATAATATTCAAAGATCTACCAAACAAATTGTTTTGAAGAAGGCAATGATTAAGAATCCATAGGTACTGTTTGAACACAGTACTTGTCCTTGTGTCTGAAAATACAATCGAAACATTAAAAAAGTAGCTAACAATCATGACAATTTAATAGTTACAAGTAAATGGAAAATTTCAGATTAAAAACTAAACCTATTTTAAACAAAATAAGAGGGATCTTGGTACCACTATGGAACTTTTTCCATCTTTTTTCTTCTTTCCTTTTATCTTCTCTTAAATATGAAACTTGAGAATTCCACTCAAGAATTACATTGTAGCAATAAAAATGTTCAAGTGACGTACAACAAATGATTGCTCGTCAGTATTTTGTTTTTCTGACAGTCCTAAAATCAAAGGAGCACAACATGGGACCTTTGAAAATCTACGAATAAACTTTTAGATAGATCCATTTAGTTTACTTCTTAAGAAACAGAGACAGCAAATATTCATGGCCAAAATCCAAAATGGCCACCTGACGGCCAGTTTGTTTTTCATAACATATTCAAAATTGAAAGGGCACAAAAGACCAAGGAAAACGTAATATGAAGTTTAAGATAGATCCATCTTGTACTTTACAAGAATTAGCGATAACAGATTTCCTTAGTCACAATCCTGTCGGCCATATTGTTTTCTTTCGGATTTGTTCGGAAATAGGACAATGCACAACGAGGAGACAATGGGTCCATACATATGGATCCATCCAGATCTTCTCCAGAAATAGCGATAACAAACTATTACTGTCAAACTCCAACATAGCTGCTTTTCGGTCATGTTGATCAGTCCAACAATCGAACATTGCACACTTAAGAACTAAAGGGAACCTACATATGATATTGGCAAAAGATACATCCAGTGTTTCTCAAGAAATAACGATAACAACCATTGTTAAAGAACAGACATACGGACAACGGACTATGGACCACGGACGCATGGCAATTTGAACAGCCCAACATCAACAAGTTAGTAGGCTAGTAAATGCGTGTGAAACTAATCACTCAGAGTCCCGGAGGCCACATTGGCGGCTACGTTTTTTCATTTTTCCTCATGGGCCCCTGAACACCTCTTTCTGTCAGGAGAGGGACTGCCCGCAACCCCTTTCCACGCTTCACACGTCGGCCGAGACGCTTTGTCTTCGATATTGATCCCCTTGTTCACAAAAGAAGAAAAACGCGTTCAAAAAGCTATCAATTATAACCCAAATACATCTTAAGGACACCATACATTTGGGCTACCATATGTCTTTATAAATATCTTTGTAAATTCTTATCGATGAATCTTATTACGTCGTCACTGAAAAAGTATTATATTCTGGGGTTTTAATCCATAAGCTACAACCTCGCCTTTATCGATAGGTTTCTAACTAAATCTCACCTTAAAACTAACCAACCATTCCTTACTTTTTTGTTTTTGCAGTAGTGGTTAATTAAACTGTAGCATGTCTACATCCCCTTCTTACGGCTTTAATGTACTGACTTACAGTGTTCGGTATTCATAACTCTGTTCTCGCGATTTCTGTGATTGGTGTGAAATCATGATGAAAATATAACGCATGGTTCCGTGTGATGTATTTGTTGATAAATACAACAGGCTATGTTTGGTCGGTAATCGTAATTTTATTGGTGTTATTAACTTAGATATGTTCAAACACATAAAAAACGCATTTACAGTTACGTAAACTTGAATTTACAATGAAATATGTAATAATAAGCATTATGGTATGATAGGGTCTACATCGTACTTATACAGCGTAATTTGATCTCTACATCTCTATTATGTTATGTAACAAGGCACACATTGATACCTGCAACTAACCAACATACAGATATTACAGGACTATCATATATTCATACGTACTTAATTTATCGTGGACATGGATACCTTATAAACTGTTTTGTGCATTCATTTTAACTCTCCCCGAAAATTTTCGGGGGAGAATACAATCGTCCGTCCTTTCCTGTCCGGAGCAGAACTTTTCCCACAGTTAAGCAATGATCACGTGGTGTTTACATTGGTCATGATGAGAGAATGTGCAGTGTTTCAAGATCAGAGCCTGAACACTTCCTTAATTAAATAATTATTGCCCCATGTTAAAAACTTGTGTTCAATTAAGTTTTTTTTCAGGGAGCATTCATCAGTTACACTGATACTCTTGTTGGATATGTTGTGAGATATTCTCACTATCGATAGTATAATTTTGTCATCTTTTCCACAGATATTTTTAATCTTAACTCAATCATACCTTCCTCGTTTAAACTATAAGTCATCTGTTCCCCGATAAGAACATGTAATAGTTCTTGATCCGGAAGGGAATGTAAATACCCATTTCCTAAAATATCAGTATTGCTAAAAGTTGTTTAAAATTCAGTATGATTACATTCTAATACAATGAGGATCGAAATTACCTGATGTACAATACCATATCTTTGACACGGCTCTCTGCGTTCACTTGTATAAGAACATACAATTTCTCTCATATCAATTGTCTATACTCGGGAAATTCCATTCCAAGTTTCTACAACGGGTTTGGAACAAAAAGATGGCACTGATGTAATACACGTTTGTGATCGTAAATAAGATAAATGTCGTGCACAATTTTAAATATTAAAACACATAATTTGCATCATAGATCCTCCCCACTATTTAATGAAAAGTGAGTGAAAATGTCCATCATAACTATTTCAATCTCTTTTTTTATCTTTTGATGTGATGGAAAATTGTCCTTTATTGGTCTTCATGCTTTCTACCTGTCACCAAAATGGGTTTGTCAGAATATAGGATGATTAATACATTCTCAAGTAATGCCAGGCTCATTAATTAACAAATGCATGTTATATAAGATTACGTTTCAGTAACAACAAACAAGAATTCATTTATGTAAGTCTGTCGACATAAAAGAGGGGTTTCAAACGTGTTGTGATTTAAAGCTGTGTATAATAAGCATTGTACTCGTGATAGAGACTTACCCTATATCACAAATTGGTCAGTACCACGATGACAATACATAGTTAGCACCACGATGACAATACATAGTTAGCACCACGATAACAATACATAGTCAGTACCACGATGACAATACATAGTTAGCACCACGATAACAATACATAGTCAGTACCACGATGACAATACATAGTTAGCACCACGATAACAATACATAGTCAGTACCACGATGACAATACATAGTTAGCACCACGATAACAATACATAGTCAGTACCACGATGACAATACATAGTGAGCACCACGATAACAATACATAGTCAGTACCACGATGACAATACATATTTCTTAAATCTGTATAAGAAAAGTTTCGGTTGTATTACAAAACACTTTTAATTATTATTCTAAATTACGTTTACCTAGTGTATTACATGTTAAGGCAGTATGGTGTCATTAATGCTTTTGTTTAATGAAAAACCTGCAATGTTTAGTCTGTCAGTCTATTTCTGCGATAACGATATTTTTTCCAACTTAAGCGAATTGAGTAAAGATAGATAACTCTGAAAAACGATTATTTTAGAAATCAGTAGACTAAGGGGAGGTAATTCAAGTTAAGGTGTAGTGACACATATGTGATAGTGAAGCCTAGATTAATTCACCGGTAGATTTTGTCGTGCGCGATCATCTTTCTGGGTGACTTCTTTTTATCTTATGAGGAACTAGTTATAAGACTCATGTTTTCTATGAAAGCTTTTTAGTCAGTATCTTATTCGAAAGATTTCGTATATAACGTTTTAATGATTTAAACACATATATACATAAATAACGCGCATATCTGATACTAATGCCAATTTGTGACTTGACATACCTTGCACGTCACGACTTTTGTCATAAAGGAAAGATAATTAATGTATGTCCCATTGCTATCTTTATATAACTTTAAGTTAATAATGTGAATGTTATACTATAACATAACAATAAAAGTTGCCATTTTGGATAAAGTTGGAATTTACAGATAATGTGAATCCTCTATGAGATAAATTTATTTAAATTTTAAGAATACATGTAACAGATATCAAGATTTATGATTTTCCGTTTAGTTGTTATATATATTTGGACTTGCATGTCTCTCTCTCTCTCTCTCTCTCTCTCTCTCTCTCGCGCGCGCGCTTTACGACAGAACTCAGCTTCCACTAGAGTGCTTAATTAATACCGATTCGGAACCGATGATTTTCCGGTACAATGTAGCTCGTCCTTACTTTTAATGTGGCTTGTTTTATCATTACATGGCCTTTCATCACACGTACTACATTATATAAACACGTTGTATTGCGTTATGGATGCATAAACCACAATATATATTTGTATATTCCGTTTGTACAGTCACTTTTTGCTAAGTATACTCAATTTATATAGTATTGTAACCAATTTAATGAGTATTCTAACCAATCAGAAATGCAGTATACGTCCCTTAATCAACTTATTGTATAATATTATTTTGCATTCGATGGAATTGATGACTTAATAACTGTAAAACTCACAAACTATTTGGTTTATCCATTTGGTAATATATACACCACTGACAGTACTTCGTTTTTGTAAGACAGTCATCTACGGTCATACATACCTGTGTGTTTGCGTCAGTATATGTGTTACAGGTGACCTACGAAGAAGTTATTTATAGACGCTGTGAGTCACAGTGATCGGGGAGAGATACCTGTTCATATGCAAATACCTGTGGCTGTCCTGAATTTGAATCGAGGCCATTGTGTGTGGACAGAAAAGTAAGCACTGGATTTCCGGGTACCAATGGTGTCAGGTGTTGGTCAAACTGTAAGGGTAACTCACCTTTCGGACATGTTTTGTGATTGTATTTAAAGGATATATATAGCAGATTGTGACGTGCCTACCTGCACAGTCAGGTAAACGATATGTCCATCCGGAACCGAAATTGACAACAAATATGGCGGTTTCCGTCGTACTTTGGACTTTATTTATGACTTTTTGGTGTATTATTGATGTCAGTTGGGGACAGAGAATCACTCCCCCACCCCCAGGAAATCTACCTGTAGTGTCGGATGGCATTGTTTACAATCTTTATCACATCCCAGCAGTATGTAGGGAACCGCGCGTGCTTGATCCTGATGAAATCAAATTTGGGATGGTTATTAAGGGCTCGAAAAAAGCGTTGATGAGAGACCGAAGTCCATACAAAGTGTACGGAAACATCGAACTGGATAGCAAATCGTGTCTGTATATCGAACCAGGGACGACATTTCACTTCGGATCAGGATATGGAATGATAATCAACGGTACTTTAATAGCGAGGGTAAGTTTTGATACCTCCATTCTATATTGGCTAACTTTGTTAGGTCCATCGGGTTGAAAGTCACGCCCGTGGGCAGAATAACTGACACCTGGTAATTAATGGACACCCAGGTGTGTGGTTACATGATCAAAACTAGAGGACGTCTAAATAACAGCAGTCAGTGCACGTTGATAGCCTGGGTGTGACAGTGCAATTTGCTGATTTTGATTTACAAAATATTCTTGAAAATTAAATAACAGTCCCGAATTCTCGTACTAGTTCATTGTGGTATATGTATAAAGTTAATAGTAGGAGTTTTTCAGACACTAAAAATAATGAACCTTTAAAAAACATAAGGAAAATGAATAATCGTTTATTAAGAAGGGGAGATAATTCATCCGTTGGATGTTTAACTGTCTAAAGCATACAGGTACATAGTAATTTATTATCGCACACACAAAAACTATGTATTAAAGTACCTTTCAATCTTGAAAAGTCCATATCTATAGGTATGTCCATGCTGATGTACCTGGTCAGAATGATACTGATGTACATGTGTATGTGATTCCATTTTAACAATTCTACATTATGCTTATATATTTCATATCTTTAATATCATATCATATTATGAGAACCGCAAAAATACCTAGTAAAAGCATTGTCACAAAAACCACAACTTAATGTATATAGCATTAGCACAGTATGTTATATGGTATCATAATGCATCTTTATATAGGAGCCACAGACATATACAATATAACATTATAAAAGAGAGTGGTACAGTGTTGCTATTTTAATTCAGAAAAAAACTATTTGTATATCATGAAATTTAAGATATATTTAAGATATATTTAAATTACATTTTAGTTTATGTGTATATATATCACTATTGCAATCAGAAACTTAAGATAAAATTGCTGAACAATTATGAAAAAATCAAATTATCATTTCATCTTGTCATCCATCCTTGACCTCAGGCGAAAATCAAACTATTGCTTATTTACATGAATGTATAGAGTTTTTCACCTTAGGCCAGGGAATTGATAATCATGAGCTGAGATAGAACCTATAAATCAAAGTTATCATTTGAGAAAAATTGTTTTAATTGCCAGACCTACTGGGGCAACAATCACCTGGTACATGCAATTATCACTACAAAGTAATTATCAAATGTTATCATCTTTGGAATTTATGAAGATTATTAAGCAAACTTGTCAACAAAGAAAATTCACTGTATGTATGTATCTGAACAGGGAAGTGAAAGACCTGGTGGACGGATCACTATGACGAAAGATCCAGAAGGAATTAATATCATCGGAAGTAGCTCCCCTTTCCCAACAACAGCTCGACTGGTAGATGGAAACACAACGCGGGATGGCAAATTGGAACTGTACTACAAAGGACAATGGAGAGGTGTTTGCACTAATTATCTCAAGTAGGTCATTGATATGTATCGTAGTTAAATATAACTTTTGCAATCATCAGATGGTGGGCTTTTCAAATCGCCCTACGTCTGTTGTAAATGATCTTTACTCCTTGGTCATTCAACACATTTTATAATCTGACTTAGGTTAAATGGTATTACTCATTAAAGCATAATGTAAGATATATTAGGTGACAGTGCTGATATGATGTTTCTTCTTTTAGGGCGATATTTGCCATTTTGTTTATCCACCCTGAAATACATGTAAAGTTTTTATCAGCTAATATTTATAAACACTGTTTAATGCTCTGTGTATTTTCCTGACAGTTACACCCAAATTGACGCCAATGTGACATGTAAACACCTTGGATTTGTATGGGGCAACTTTACCTACCATTCATTTTCGCGCAACAAAACAGAGTACATGTTTTACCCGCGCCCTGAATGCAGCGGGACAGAAACAGACCTCTTGGACTGCCCAGGTCATAACCGTATCAACGTTGGCACTCATATTTGTGGTAAGTTATCATCAACATTCTTATTTAATGGGGAGTTCACATGTTCATTTGACAAACCAGTGATTTTTTGGGACTCAGATTTATGAGTCCCGAATATATGCTTTTCCTTTGGGACTCACTTGAATTGTGAGTGCCCTGTATATCTAAGTAACTGGACTCATCAAAATTTGAGCGAATAGATATTCTGGACTTGTTTGAAAAAATCTACAAAAATTAATGTGCCAACACTGTTTTAAGCTCAGGAAGGTCATACATGTTTACATATTAATCTTAATATAAGTTATCTAAGGAATATTTTGTAACAACATAGCTATTGCTTATCAGCTTTGTAATTTTTAAGAACAAGCATTTTACATGCAAGATGTGAATGGTTGTACTATATCATCATATATTGTTTCAGATGGACAACAGCTGATTGGATTTGAATGTATAGGTATGAGATCTGATCTAGCACAGGATTACTGGCGTGGACTAGAGTTTTATAACTCAACGGTAGAATCAATTAAGGAAGGCATCATCATTCGTGATGAACCATTGTCCTGGTTAGAATACCTTGACATATCCTATGCCGGGCGAGATATTAGTAGAAATGATGGCATGATACACGGTCGGGCCAGCATCAGTGCCAGCCCTAGTGTTCCACTGATGAACAATGTAACCATCAGTCACGGAGCTTACGATGGTCTAAACATGACAGAAATAACTGGCCGGATACATATAGCCAACAGCACCATATCAAACAACAGAGGTAAGGTCTAGGTATGGGGAGAATAACTGTTAAGGGAGGGAGAGGAGAACAGGTGTGATAGGAGGGAGAGGGGAACAGGTGTGATAGGAGGGAGAGGGGAACAGGTGTGATAGGAGGAAGAGGAGAACAGGAAAGGAGAGGAGAACAGGTGTGATAGGAAGGAGAGGAGAACAGGTGTGATAGGAGAGAGAGGAGAACAGGTGTGATGGGAGGGAGAGGAGAGCAGGTGTGATAGGAGGGAGAGGAGAACAGGTGTGATGGGAGGGAGAGGAGAACAGGTGTGGTAGGAGGGAGAGGAGAACAGGTGTGATAGGAGGGAGAGGAAAACAGGTGTGATGGGAGGGAGAGGAGAACAGGTGTGATGGGAGGGAGAGGAGAACATGTGTGATGGGAGAGAGAGGGGAACAGGTGTTAAGGGAGGGAGAGGAGCAGGTGTTAAGGGAGGGAAAGGAGAACGTGTGATGGGAGGGAGAGGAGAACAGGTGTTAAGGGAGAGAGAGGGGAACAGGTGTGATGGGAGGTAGAGGAGAACAGGTATGATGGGAGGGAGAGGAGAACAGGTGTGATGGGAGGGAGAGGAGAACAGGTGTTAAGGGAGGGAGAGGAAAACAGGTGTGATGGGAGGGAGAGGAGAAAAGTTGTTAAGGGAGGGAGAGGAGAACATGTGTGATGGGAGGGAGAGGGGAACAGGTGTTAAGGGAGGGAGAGGAGAACAGGTGTTAAGGAAGGGAGAGGAGAACATGTGTGATGGGAGGGAGAGGAGAACAGGTGTGATGGGAGGGAGAGGAGAACAGGTATGATGGGAGGGAGAGGAGAACAGGTGTTAAGGAAGGGAGAGGAAAACAGATGTGGTGGGAGGGAAAGGAAAACTTGAAAATTGAGGAAGAGAAGAAGAGATTCAAAATGTCCAAGAATTACTTGAAAAATAAAAGAGGTTTACAGTTGTGAAAAGTAATTTCAGGATTTGTTTGTTAAAATATATTGATCAGACGTGTATCACCATTTTTACAATGGTGTTTGACATATTTATCAATGAAGAAACTTTACTTTGTAGGTTATGGTGCGTTTATCCAGAGTAATGTCGGCAAAGTGTTGATCAATATGACAGACATGAACAACAATTGGGGTGATGGAGTGAAGATGTACATGACCAACTTCACAATCCATGATTGGGACCGGGATTTTCCTGCAGACAAGTCCTTTTGCCGGTCAGCGAGCCTGTTGTACCAGACCTACCCAGTTCTCATACATGAAAATATTATTGATGACTATGGGAATAAACCAGAATGGGATGGACGGGATTGTAAAAGGGTAAGGGCTCAAAGTACTGTGTACATTGAAAATTCATGTCTTACACTCTTCTGGAATAAAATGTTCTAATTTACACTTTGCTCATTAATATATTCAGATATCAGTAGTCTGAGGATGAAAAATATCCTGCAGGGTTATATAATGTAGTACGATTTTACAAACAAAGCCCAGTTTAAAATTGCATCTTTTTTTCATTTACTTTTTCATTGGAAGACTTGATTGTGTTTGATTTTGAATTTACAGATATGTCTGATTTGAGACTTGTCTTTCTACATTTGTTTTAGATATTCCGTGGACATGGAATGAGAATCACAGCCCACTTCCTGTTGATGGAGAGAGCGCCCTCTGTGTCTGGTTTTATGACTGTATATGATGGAGAAGAGAAGAATGGAAAAATATTACAAACATTTCCTTTTAACAATGGCTCATTTCCTCAGTCTATCACCAGTGACACGGATGCTCTAACTATTCGTTTTAACTACTCTTTACCAACACTCACCAAACCAACAGACCCAAACAAACAGTGGTGTGAGATCTTCCGTCCCTGTGTCCGTTTTCTCTTGGAAATAACAGCTGCATCTGGTAAGATCTTCATGTAAGATTGCAAAATGAAAAAAAAGATATGATGCATTGGACTTAACATGATATGTATAGATTATTGAAAGTAATAAAGAAATTTGTATTTAGTTTGATGCAAAATCTTGATAGATACTGGTGCAACTGTAATTCAAACAGAAATACATATATTTATGTTGGCATTCTGTGTCCTAGGTCCTGAGGAAGAGTTCAGATTCATCAATTCAAGTGCATCCAATAATAATGGCTATGGTGTGAATATCCAGGACATGAGAAGTAAAGTTTTCTTCAATTCATCTGTTGTATCAGACAATAAGTATGGTGCAGGGATACGAATTTATCAGGGCGCTGGTGAGATTGCAATAAACAATACTGTTGTGGAGCGGAACACACGGACAGGTGTCAATATCACATACTCTGGAGGTTATCAACTTGTTAACAACTCAAAAATCATTGACAACAATGGATATGGAATCATTTCTGAATATGAACGCCTTAACAAGACAAGATTTGAACTTCTCCAGAAAATAGAAATAGTCCATAGCCAGTTTGAATTCAACCAATGGATTGCTTTACGTATAGGAAACTATTGTCGTGGTGGGCAAATACTTGTGAATGAGAGCAATTTTGATTTCAACTTTGATGAGGCCATAGAGTATCTGTCATGTAATGTATCAACAAATAATCCCACAAATTTCAGTGTGGCATTTAACATGTTCAACGGAAATGTACGTCATGGAGTGTTCATATTTCCGATGGTCAACACTATAGGACGAATGACCAACAACACATTCAAAAACCATAGTCTTGGAGCTGTCAGAATAGATAATGGTTATGATCTACTCATCAGTAAATGGTATTCAGATTTTGAAGTTAGTTATGAAATTTTTGAAAACATCTTTAAAGAAAATTATGGGCGTTATGCTATTAGTATGCGCTTAACACAAAGTAGCCCTTTTCAGAACATTGTCTTCAGTTTTAATTCTGTTATAGACAATTACATAAATGATACTTCAGAATACCTCAATCCGAGAAATCGCGCAAATGCTCCAATAATCGTATCATCAGGCAATATTTTAGTGCAGAGGAATAGAATCATCAACCCTCACTCGGTGCGTGATGTGGCAACCCATCTTGTTGACCCATCTGTAATAATTAGGGGAGATCTGAACTGGTGGGAAACCACCAGTCATGAATACATATATGGTAGGATTTTTGACAATGATGATCGCTACAATTTGGCAGAAATAGAATATTATCCAGCGTTACGAGACAAATGGCTGTATGGACCGTTGTCTACATCAGAGTATCCTAAATATCGCTGGGTCTTCTCGCGAGGTGGACGTATTGGTGGTGTTTTAGACACGCCTGGATTTACAACAGATCCACGTGTAAAAACATACCATGTTGATAAGGACATCTTCATCCTCCCCGGAGCTACACTGACCATCTTGCCTGGAACTACCCTGGAATTTGAGAACTCTATCGGAATGGTCGTTCATGGAAGACTAAAAGCTGATGGTGGATCAAATGAACCTATTATTTTTCATCTGCGAGAGACCTTGGATGCTCTCGCTATAGAAAACAGGACAGCATCTGTGCGCCTTGTGGACGGTACAGATGAGTATGAGGGACGTCTGGAGGTGTTTTTGGATAATGAATGGGGCACCGTTTGCCATGATGTAAGTCTACAATAACTAATATGTCTTGATAATTAACTAAACTAACACAAAAGCACCTCGGAATGAAAATTGAATTTGTATGTTAAACTGATATTGTGTAAGGCCAAGTTCAGTTTTAAGGAAATTTGTACATCGGCCAGCCTATAGTATTTTAAGATAATTTTGTACTGTTAAAATCCCAGAGGATTGATTCTTCCTATCTTCAAATATTTACAATATAAATCAGAGTTTTGATCTGTTTCTAGGCAAATTTTCATCCAGGCAATAGAAATAGGATCATTTCTAACGTTTTTTTGTGTACAGGACTGGACCAATCATTTCTAACGTTGTTTTGTGTACAGGACTGGACTGATCATTTCTAACGTTGTTTTGTGCACAGGACTGGACTGATCATTGCTAACATTGTTTTGTGTACAGGACCGGACTGATCATTTCTAACATTGTTTTATGTACAGGACTGGACTCCATTGGATTCTAGTGTCGTCTGCCAACAACTAGGCCTAACATTTAATCCTGTGTTCGGAGAGTCGCAACTAAAAAATCCAGGAATGATTTCATCACAGAAAATGCACATGAGTGGTGTAGATTGTGACCAGCTGGATACTGACCTCACCAAATGTCGGTCTCTTAGAGATGACCAGTTTATTTGTGACCCACGCAATGTTGTATATTTACGTTGTCAAGTACCAACCTGGTCAGGTAAGTTGATGGAAAAATTTGTATAAAAAATCTGGTTAAATATCTGAGCAACAATACGGAAACAGCGTGTTTACAATTATGATTCCAGATTGTGTGAAATTGTTCATTTAATTTCTAATTAACATCTTAAATAATTGAACTGACAACTGATGAAACTTGATTGATACAATGATGCCTTAGATCAGATCTACATGTTAGGGGGAATTATCTCCCTTCCCATATCTTTAAGTTAACCAATTTCTGTTCCATTTTTTCTCTATGTGACTTTAGTTATTCAGATAGATATCTTTATTTATGTTAACACAGGTGTCACTATCCCTGCTGTGCCCACTGGAGGAAGCCAGGAGGATACTCAGATCCGCAATGTTATCATCCAAAATGCTGGACTTCTGGATTATGAGGAGATGGAATATACACCAGCACTTAGGATCGATTACATGTTCTATAAGATAACATCTCTCCAGGTTCTGAATTCTGCATCTGATGGAGTTGTGATCAGATACAGCAACCCACACACAGAAAACTTGTTTGAATTCTGTAAATTTGATAATAATCTTGGCAATGGATTCCTGACTAGGAGTCCATACTTAAGAATATTTTACACAACAATGAATGGTAACTTTAAATCTGGCTTTGCCTATGACCCTTTCTTCACCGAATATGAGGCTCTGAGTGTGCGTAATTTTATCTACAGGAACAGAATTATAGCTTTAACACAAACCCCAATGTATAATCTTGGGGACAATTCTATGATATTCATTACTACCTCATCTGGGTCAGGAGAGGAGAGAAAGACATACGACATGGAGATCGCTGTGACATTTCAGTATCGTATCACACTTCAGGTCCTTGATTACAATCCTCTCACCAATATTGAATCTGTTACCATATACGATTCAAGCAAATCGAGTATCAGCGACAGCACCAAGAAGTGGGAGATTGAGAAAGACTTGGTGGACTTTCCCATTGTTTCTACTTCAACTCGAATCACCATTCGTCTTGTTGTTAAGGGAGTGAGAACAGACAGACTCACCTTTGCTGCACATTCACGTAAGTACAGTAACCTCCTCCAGGTTCCAATAATAACAGGCCTTGATACATTTGTCAGACTGGCCTATCAAGAAAGTTCAATATCAGTATTGATCACATGACCCATGTATTTCAAATGAATCAGTCTCACCATATGCATTTGTATGTCTAATTAAGATGGCAGGTATGATGAAACTTGTTATCTTGAAATTCAAGGGACGGTGGAAAATATTTTGATCTATCAAAGTTTCGACTTAAACGAAGTGTTTCAATAAGGTTGACGATATCAGTTTCCTGACATTGATTACAGTTGAATGAAGTAGGGCTACGATAGCACGCAAGCAGGGTAGTTTAATCTGTTATTTGAAGTGACAGTAGATAAACAAACAAATTTACTTCTCCTTTCTCCTTTTATTGTTTATTCATCCAAACAACGAAACATGTAATAAAAACTCCAATCAAATGCATTTGATTACATCCTACATAAGTGTACAATACCAAGCACATATGCATCGTATATTTTACAGAATGACAATAAAACAAAATTAAAATTTGCTTTTGATACGCTACAAGAAAAGATGTACTAGAAAGTTTTTACGTGTTATAGAAAACATTATATACGTACTAGACTAAACAAATCACGCAAAGATATAGACTCTATTAATGAAAAATACTTTCAGTACTTCATTGTCCGAATACTAAATCTGACGAAGTGCCCGATCACAGTCCTTTAGTAAACAAGCTCAAAATGATTTTCTCTCAGAATTGTGGAGATTAGATTTCCCCCAAAAGTGTGTACTGGTTTGACAGTTTTGTTTTTATTGTTCCTGAAGATGCACACAACCAAGCTATGTATTTTCATGTTTTGTGCAAATTCGTTTCTTTTTGACATACAGGTAAGTCACTGCTACAGGATTGTGACACTTATTAAGAAGCCAATTTTTAATTGGATAATTAAACTGGTAATTAATCTCACCAGAGACTAAGTGTTGTGTGTACGATAGACTGATACGCCATAGTTAGCCATGTGTTACGCACAAGTGACTTTCTACTCTATGTATGTATTGACCGATTTCATCAGAAAACATGTCAATGTTTTGACAAATATTAATTTCAAGGAATGACTTTTGCCTTGCTTTACAATTGAGGGGACTGAAAAATTGCTTCAACTCAACCAAAATTTTGACTCCATGAAATTTGAGTCATCCGAACTAAAATTACAAAGATATAGAAGGAAAAAATCGGAATTTGAAAATTATTTCAACTCAAACAGAATTTCGACTCAACCGATTTCGAGACAATGAGTTTCAACTGTATGTTTTGAATTAGATACATGATCAGGTGTCATAGTTGTTAGTTGTTACGGAATATAGTTTTATATTTTGTGTGTCTCTTCATAGCTAAATAAATGTCATATTTGCTGTTACAGGTGTGTATCCCTCCAACTACCCACTGTCCAGCATATATGTATACAATTCAACAATGGCTAACAACTACCAAGGAATCCTTACTAAACATTACAACAACCCTTCAAACGAGAAAAGTGAGATCTTCCATCGTGTTAAAGAAGAGGAAATCAAATTTGTTTTGGTGCACGTACTGCGGAATAAAATGGAAGCTATGTATATTCCAAGTCTTACGAAATACCATGAGAATTTCTTACCAACTCCTGAGGAAATGACACGTCCAGAACGTATTGGGGTGATCAGGTATAAGATGGAACGGACCAAGTTTTTGGACAATGGTAAAGGTGTAGTCGGAGACCACAATCACGTAGACTTTGCCAATAATGTCTGGAGATGGAATATCACGGACTGTGAATTACGAAATACTGCTACCGGTGGATTTGACATTGAACTACCTCGTGTCAATGACATGCTGGAAAGAAAATTTCATTCTGTATTTGTACAGGAATCCAGATTTTTGAACAATCCACAATTTGGATTTTCAGTCAATGGATACTATGCCAATGTGACCATCCTGAATAATGTTCTAACTGGTAATGTATGCCCCCGGGGTCTGATGACCATCGGAGGGATGGAAAAAGAGATCATATTTCGTCAAAACAGTCTGGTACAGAATAAGGCCAAGTACATGTTTGAGTTAAACTCGCAGAGTCATTCCGCATATTCAGGTACTGTAAGTGGAATATTCTCTTACAATCAGCTGCAGAATAATGACCCTGTTGCCAATAGTTTTAGCTCTGATGCTACCAACATTCCGCAGACCTATTCTGTTGCTCTACGAGGTGTGCAGCAGATCATACTCAACAGGAACCTCATAGACAATCCCAACCTTCAGTATGAATTGGTGGCTGCTATCTCCTCGCTTTCTTTAGACACAGTGCTAGACGTCACTGAAAATTGGTGGGGTACCCAGTACCAAAGTGCCATCCAGAAGAGAATATTTGATTTTGATGACTGGAATAACTATGCTATTGCAAAATACTTCCCTCAGCTGACTGCTGGAGATGTAAAGAGTCTAACAGCAACAGGCTCAGTATTTGAACCTCCTCTTGACCTTGAAAGACTTGGAGGTAGAGTACATTCAGATTTGTCCCTGCCTTACAAGGGTACCCCATACACAGTGGTTTCTGATCTAACTGTTATGCCTGGAGCAAAGCTTGTCATTGAACCAGGAACTATTATTGAGTTTCATCCAAATGTTGGGATTCTTGTTCTAGGTCAAATAGTTGCAAGAGGTCTGCCTTTTGCTAGAATAACATTGCGGCCAATTGCTTCTAATAATCGTGTCAGAAGGGCCATAACAGACAGTCCTAGCACTACTGTAAGGCTACTCAGGGATGCAGCAGGCAAAATACCTGAAAATGAAGGATTTTTGGAACTTTACAATGTCTCCTCACAGTCATGGAACCTCATGTGTGATAGCCATTTCAATGAGAAAATGGCAGAGGTGGTATGTCGAAGTCAGGGTATGGAGACTGTGAATGTGGATGTCCGTTTTACACATTTGTATGATCATTATATCCACGGCAAACCCATGTACTTCTTGAAGGAGTTCTGGAGGTATTCCTATTACTGTGTTGGTGATGAGGCTGGACTTGACAACTGTATGAAACGTGTAAATTATGACATCCAGAAGTGTATTCAGGCATCTAATTATACTTATATTAGGTGTGGTCACAGGAATTTAGAATCAGGTTATCAATATTGGGGTAACATTAGAATCTCACCACCAACTTATGAGGAGGAAATTAAACCCATTATAAAACTTGAGGATAGATCAGCATTTGAATATATTGATATATATGGTGCAGGAATGCTACACGGTGAAAAAGTCGGCGCTGTACAAGCCACCTACAACACACCAATCATCACTAACCTCAATGTTACGGGCTGTCTTCTGAACGGCCTAGACATGGTCGCGCCAAGACATGAAGTCAAAGTACAGACACTGAACATCTCCGGAAATTTGGGTTACGCAGTCAACATGCTCATACTTAATGGTGAGTCAAGGGACGTTGAAATGTCATCATTTACTCCTCTCAAACTTAACACTGTGCCCTATGACATATATGGACTGGTGGATATCTGTAAGATGGAGAAAGAGATCACTATTGATAATCGACTGATTGTGTTTTACAAGTACTCTCAGACAGCTCTGGACTGTGTAAAGATTGTCAGATCTAAGAACTCTTTACGTCGAGTCTCTCTCAGGTTCCTGCAGTTCAGTATGTACCATGATGATTTTTATCGTAACACCATTGAAATATTTGATGGAAAGACTGTATCAGTCGACACAAGGATGGGAGAACTGACATACAATAGCAGCAAGGCTGACATCTCCAGACGTTACCTTAGTTCTGGTGATTCTGTCTCGATCCACATCCATGCCTCGCCATCCTTTGGGGAGTACGGATTCATCGCCGAGGTTGTTGCCTTCCCCCTTTCTGGCTTAACCTACCCAGGTATGTCTGTTTTTTATGAATACGGATGGTGACAGTAAATGCAGGGCTCTCCATCTGCCAGATTTGGGGCCGATATTCGGCCCATTCCCAATGCAAAATAGTATCTTTTTTCCCAATTTAGACCCCAAGTTTTCCCAATTCTAAGGAAAACACTGCTATTTTTCCCAATTCTAAGGGCCCCTGGCCCCAGTCCTAAAATGGGGTGTGAGAGCCCTGAAATGATACGAGTATTGTTCTACTTATTCTACTTTTTCTCCACATGTTATCGACATCTGATTACGAGGTAATTACTTCCCTTTAATCATAGCACTATTGAATAAATAGGTTCATTGTCAGTGAAAATGCAGGGTATTATGTATATATTGAGCTTTACATATAGTGATAGATCGATATTATCCATTTTATTGCTGACAACAAATATTCAAATATTGGAATAATAAGTAAAGTGAATATTTTGATATTTTCCCCCAAAGTGACATCTATAAAATACTTCTAATGGTCCAGAATTACAGTGTTATGGTATACATGTGTAATCATAAATTATGGATATTGTCTATCTTTCAGGACATAATGTTTACTGCACATTACTTACAATGATATTTCTTCAGTCCAGAACTGATTTTATATTTTTGATGTAGCTTACAATTTAAATTTGAAGTTTTTTAAAGGAACAGCCACATCTCTGCATATCAAAGTTATTTTAGGGTCTTATGAGTTTTATAAAGTCCAATAGAAAAGTCAACTATTGAATGAAAATAAATCATAGCTACTTTCAAAATTGTTTGATCTAGTCTTTCACTTTTCATGATTAAGATAACAAAAATGAAATTAAGATTTAAATGTCCATAATACCAATGGAAAATTCAGCATATATATGTGTATACCTGCTCAATCATGATAATTATGTACATTACAAAAGGCTTCATTGTAAGATAATCTTACGGTATTTTGCTGCTTACAGACAGTAGTTACAACCATATCCTTAAACACATTGAAATGAAGCAGAATGAGGATGGAGCCATCTTGTACAAGAATGTGGGTGAAGTGAATCCATCTCTGTATGTAGATCAGTGTTGGATTGAAGGAAACGGCATAGCCATCTTAAACTTGACCTCCCCTCCTGTCATAGACATTAGTCTTCAGGATACAAAGACCTTCATTTTTGAACACAACTTTGTCAGTCAGAACCTAGGAGGAATGTATGTGGATGCAATAACACAGTCTGTAGCAACACATGTCCGTGGAAATATCTCTAACAACGTCTTCTCTTTTGGTACACATGGTGAGACATTGAGGATCACAGGCCATCACTACCAACGTTTCCGTCTTCATGAAAACTACATCTTTAACAACACTGCTGGTGATTTCATAGACACCATTTTCATAGATAATGTAGGAGTGAATGCCACATTTAACGTGATAGGAAACAACACGGCCTATCACATCATAGAGGTTTTCGCTCAGGAAAACACAGAAGCTACACAAATGTTTCTGGGAAATATGTGGTTTGAGAACAATACTACTGCAAAGTATCGCTCTGTTTTTAAAGTGGGGAGTGGTAAACCTCTCCTCAATAACAACTACTTTGTTAACCTTGAGAGTGACTTTGAAATGGAGGCCAACCCTAAACAGTAAGTGTTATCTAACAACCTATTAAGCTTTAATTATTTGACAGTAATTGTGAACCACGTTGTAACATTTTATTTTAATCACTCTTGCTGGCCGGGATAGAAGAGCTGAGAGAATAGGGTTATAAAAAGTGATGTGTTCCTTGTCTCATTGATAACAGGCTGTCACAATAAATGGCAATGAAATGACAAAATCACTATATTCCTGTTGCAAACGGAGAGAAAATAAGATGAATTTTAATCATATAATAAGGAGTTGTTGATAAATCTGGTTATATATTTGAGTGGGTAAGGAAATTATAAAATTTCTATTTTTCACTGATTGCTACTATGAAAATGAAAAAGCTGATACAAATTATGGTATGTAAACAAGTCAACATTGCTTTTTTAGTATGATCCAGGGAGTTGCTGACAATGCTATAGAGGCAACACAGAACTGGTGGGGCTCCAACAGACCCGGCTACATCAACGGAAAGATCTGGGATCAATCCGACAACAACTCCCTTGTCGCTGTCACATTTGACCCCTACAAGGTCTCCAACCAATCTATTATAGATGGTAAGGTTCTTCTTACCCCTATAGGGTCTTCAACCAATCTATTGTAGACGGTAAGGCTCTTGTGACCCCTACAAAGTCTAAAACCAATCTATTATAGATGGTAAGGCTCTTGTGACCCCTACAAAGTCTCAAACCAATCTATTATAGATGGTAAGGCTCTTGTGACCCCTACAAGGTCTTTAAACAATCTATTATAGATGGTAAGGCTCTTGTGACCCCTACAAAGTCTCAAACCAATCTATTATAGATGGTAAGGCTCTTGTGACCCCTACAAGGTCTTTAAACAATCTGTTATAGATGTCAAGGTTCTTCTGATGTCAGATCTAGTGGTGGTGTTCAGCAAATAGGTACAACCAGCCGGTAAATAACTGTCTCAGTCAACATACTGTAAAAATCATTAATTTATGTGACATCTAGTGGTGAAAACATCTTTTTATCCATATATGCTATTGTCTTTAAGGAAAATGTGCTCCAGGATGGAGAATCCACGAAAACCGTTGCTATAGATACATGGGAGCTGCACTCCCATATTACGAGGCCATCAACTTTTGTAGAGTAAGTATGACTTTGTCATAAAGATTTTAAAGATTTTATTTTGTTAATCATCGAATTTTGAAAAATTCAAATGTATTTTTTTGCCTCTATCTTTCTGAGTTTGTAATATTTGCCTAGTTTCCTTTCTGTCAAAAAGTGAAATTGTTACTGTGTATTCTATGTTGCAGAGAGTGAATGGATATCTGGCAGAGGTGAAGGATCGTGAGAACTTTATCAGATATCTGATACGTACGACAGAGAGTGTGTACAAAGAAACCATGCGTGTGTGGATATATGCAGAGGTTGCTGCTGGTTTCTGTAGCTCGTTTGAAAATAACTTTATAGTAGCAGAACAGGAGTGTCATCGCAAGTTCCTGCCATTCGTTTGTGAGAAAGGTAAGTTGAAATTTTAGAGAATCAGCATATATCAATCGATGAGGTCAAATGTTGATCATCTAATTAGCAATGAGGCCTTAAAATTATTTTCTATATTAAGAGCTACAAAGAAAAACCTTCCTTCTTTATGCTATCCATTATGATTATTTGTAATTCTTATTTAAAAAATTAATCAATATTTCTACTCATTATTTTCATTTCTTCAAAGGGAAAGAAAACAAGGCACTTGAGTTACATTTTGATGATGTTTGTTTTTCAGACCCATACATTTTACCACCTGGAACAGAAATCCTCACCTTGGTCATCATCATCTGTGCCAGCGTGTTTGGTGTAGCAATCATCATCATCGCCATCCTCCTCATCTTGTGGCATGTAAAGTCTAAACAAAGAAAAGAGGAACAATTTGAGCGCACACAGTCAATAAGGATGTCAAAAACCTCACTAAACAAATCTAGATCAACTATAGCCATGCTGGATGATAAATATTCCATGTCAGGTTTGTCTTCACGAAGTAGATACTCTGATGAAAAATCAATGATGGCATCTGCGATGAGTCTTACTAGTGAGAAACGAGCTCGACATGATAGTAGATATGATTCAAATGGATATCTTGGATCACGTGATAGATTACATGAAAATGGGCGAGCAGGATCACGTGATCAACTAGACAGTGACCGTCGTCTTGGAAACAGGGATGACAGATTAAACAGTAGTAACAGAAGGCTTGGCTCTAGAGATCGTCTCAACAATACAGCCAGACACTGGTCACAAGATGGATCACAGGAGGATCAACGGTATGGGTCTCGTGACAGGCTTAATGAGCAACAGCGATCTAAATCACGTGAAAGACTTGATGAAAAACAAAGATCTGGTTCAAGAGAATGTTTGAATCGATCAGAAGAAAGACTTGACAGAGTATTGCTTGATCGACAGACTCGTGCAAATCTTCATCGACGTGATAACAAGAAAAATGGCACAATTCAGAAAAATGGTACAGTTCCAAAAGAAAAACAAGCAGGCTCACCTCAAGAAAAGAAGCGCCTTGTTCCACCTGATCCTGATAACCAAGACACAGATGTTGGTTACACAGATGATGGGTTTTCAGAAAATGAGTTTGATGATTTTACAACTACTGCTGATGAAGGTGGCAAGGACCCTAATGATACAGATGCTGCTAGCACAGTAATCAACTTCCGTACAACTCAGAAACCACCTCATGTAGAAAATGAAATTGATTCCCTTCACATGAAGCCCTCTATGAATGACTTATACCAGAATCATACATTTAATAGCACGCCAAGTGTTGACTTCAGTGGCGCTAAATCACTCACCAGTTTCCATCAACCTGAGAGTCCTGGTGACCGTCCACCTACACCACCACCTCCACTTCCTGTAGACCATTACCCATTGAAGTCTCGAAACCAGTCAACAGATGACCCAGTTCCACAACCAAGGCAGAGACCTACACCACTTCCAAGATCGTTACAAAATAGCCGGGAAAAGATGGATCATGGTAGTGGGTCTGAGAGAAGTGGACCAATAAATCCTGCTCTTAGATTACAAAATGCACCTGGCCGTCCTCCACTGCACCTGAGTAGAGAGAGTCTGAACTATCTTGACAACCGACGTGAGTGGATGACCGATCAGATGCCAGAAAAACAAGAGGACAGTGAAGAAGAAACTGAAACAGAAACAGAATCTGAAACAGAGAGCAGTGAAGAAAGTTATGAAGAAGAAGAAAAGTTCACTGATAAGAAAGATCTTCCACACCCAGTCACTTACCATTCTGATACCCATGACAGGACAAACAGCCGTGCGAATTTGTATGATCCTAAAACCTATATACCGCCTCCTTATGAACCACCTCCTTATGAAGCCCCGCCATATGGTAACCTTCCAGACAGTAGTTATAGCCAAAGGAGTCGTAGCCGGGAGAATATTCCTCAATCTTTTAGTACCGTGGATGGCAGTGGACAGGGCTACCATCCCCAGGACTACAGGCCAACACCTGTGGTCAATCCTGGCAGTATAAATTTAGGCTTCAACAGAAGTCGTGAGAATATACCTGAAGCCATGAGCAACATGGACTATTTAAAGGATGTTCCCTATGGTGGTGCTAGTAGGGAGGACCTGTATCGGCCAGGCTTTGATAATTGTGCTTTCATTGCTAGTCCCAAGCACAGCCCAACTGAGCAAATGGGAAGTGTCAATGATGTTCGAGGAAGTAACAAATATCTTGACCAACTGTCACGAAGTCGCGAAGATCTCCATGGCTACTCTGGTCCAGATAGACAGGGCAACATGGGTAGTCGAAATGGTGTTAGTAGGAGCAGACAGAGTTTAGATCATCTGTCAAGAAGTCGGGAAAACATTCATGGGAGTATGTCCAGTGTTCAGAGTCACCATCGGAGTAGAGACAATCTAGGTGTGATGTACTTGGACAGTGATCGGTCACAATCTGGAACACGTACACAGCCAATAGAGACCGAAATCTAGCGAGAAAACTTCAAATCATTTCGAATTCTCCATGTGTTGTATATTAAATAGCTTTATCCAGTTGATAGATAACTACGCATGATACTGGATGTAAAATTTTATTTTAAATGCAATAACTTAAAATAATACTGGAAACATACTAAATATTACACAATAAAATTTAACAGCATAAGTGTTTTGGCAAATTAGCGTTAAGATGAATTCATGCATCAGGAAACGTTTCTATGAAGAAACAAAAGTGACAACTAGGGCAGTCCTATTGACCTATTTTAGCACAATACTTTCAGTACTTAATATTAAGGCTGTATGTTTACAGCAGGAAATGTTGTATTGACCAATGTGTTGTAATAGAGCATCAATACTTTGTGTTCTGTCCTGATCCCATTTAACTCTGTATCCTTGAGGTTTATTCACTGTCTACCAACTTGCAGACTTATAACAAAATTTTGTATACCTGTGATTTCTAAATGTCTGTACCTTTAATTAAGGAGTGATGTTGTGAAATGACAGTGAAATTTTATTGTATAGATAGAATACAATGATAAAAGAGATGATCGGGAAGGGAGGACAATGGCTTGATGCCAAGTCAACAATGCTAAGCATTGAGATAACAACTTTAGGTAAAGAAACCCAAAAAGGCAAGCGAAAGGAATCAAAAACCCCATTAAGATATATGGTGATCTCAACCTTCAGGGAAAGATTTTTAAGTGTGCAAACAGTTGACAATCCTGCTTTTTTCTTTCCCCTCAGATTGAGATTTTGTTAGTCATAATTTTGATAGATAAGGTGGAAATGTAAATATTTAATATTACCTATTACTAAAAACTCCCAAGTCAAAGATAAGTGTCTATTGTTGTTTAAAGGATCATTGCTGAAGGGTTTCAACATAAAAACTGTACAATTATAGCATGTTTGTCGTAGATGTAGGATTTTAACATAAAACTATTAATGTTTTGATTTTTTTTATCAAATTGAAATGATTTTTATCTTGTACATACTATCTGTAATCATTATTGACTTATCAGTCAATGTAAAAGATCTGTGATACTGCATTCATAACCACACATCCATGTTCTTTGTTGATGTTTGTAACCAGAACAGTTTAGACTGCAAAAACTTTTACTAATTAAATAAAATTGTTTTGTGGTGTAAAAGTTAATTTGTTCACATTAATAAAACACTTTTGTTAATACATGTTACACATTCTGTTTAATCCCATCATAATTCATACAATTTGCTCACATTCTCATCCTCCACATATTAAACACTAGATTTGTAGACGATACATTCCACACTATATATCAGTTGCTCTAGAAGTGCTCTAGTTCTTATTCATGTACTATGAACTCTGTAAAATGAAACAAAATGGTTGTGAATTGGTAAAATTCTTGAGTGATCCAACTTCTTAAATTTGGTTTATTTTCATTTCTATTTAATAGCACCCAATGATAATATAAATGATTTAGCATATAGTTGGCTATCTTGATATAAAAAAATGTTTAAAGTTAGGATATGTTAGGAGTGTTTTTAGTGGTTGTGTGTACTAAGTGCTTTATTTCATTAGAACCTATCATTGTTATAGTGTCATGTTCAACATTCATCACACGTGGTGTTTCTACACTCCTTATTGGGTTTTCTAACATGATGTTTGTATATGTTACTTTTGATACGCTGATTATATCTTTTCTATATTACGACAATAAAACGTGATTTATAATGATGGCTTTGTCATTTCTTCCATTCATTGTTGTTATTAATATCACACCAAAGAAAATATTTTGGGACGATTTATTGGAATGCTGACTACAATAAAGTAGCAAAGGAGCAAATTCACTCCGGGAAAGGGACACAGCTGGATAGAAAATAGGTCAAATGAAACAATTTCCTATTTTTCTGCTTTGGTATCACAGAATGAACGTTACAATATATCTAAGCAGTTTTTCTATCTGTACACCTACAACCTGTCAAAAGGCTGTACATTGTATCCCTTCAATCACATGTCACTAACAAATAAAACTGGTATTGACTCATAATCCTACATTTCTAAGGCATGTCTTGTCCCAGGCTGACATCATTTCAAGGAAGTGAATGATCTAATTTTTCATTTACATGTTTATACTGAAATATGAATAATGTAATATTTCGTCTAAATGTTTAATCAGAAAAGTAAATAATATATACAGCAAGGAAATAATGTATTATTATAATTGTTATTGTAATTTTCCGTTACAACCATAATTTAATTGAAAACTGTTAAGCATGTCAAGAAAGTTACTGCTTTTGATAACAAAATTATGGAATAAGTCGGGAATTTATATTCATTGCATAATACAATTACACCACCGGGCACAAGATAAAGACCAGGGTTTGTAGCTGTTTGACAGAGTCAAGGCCATCGATTTACCATCATTACACTTTAATGGAAAAAAAACTGTTTTATCAATTAACCAAGCAACCTGAATATTTCTAGAGCAATACATGTCATCTACCGGCCCTCGCAAATTATTACAATATCGTTATGTTTGATATCAATAAGTGTGTGAAGTTTGATGACAATCCCTCAAGGAATGAAAACGCTAGAGCTCTGACAAACTTTCACAGACGCAGGGAACGGAAGGACGGACGAGAAAATTGTAGACCGGGTTCACCAGTAAGGGGACTGAATTATTCATGATATAACACTTTACCAGGGATGATATAATTTTAGATTATATTATCTGTCGTCATTTTTCTACTCTCCACTATACTCAGTTGCTCCCTGAAAATGTAATGAAAAGATAACTTAACTATTTCCCGTCGAATATCATATCTATTTCCCTTGTATGACAATGTATAGAAAATATTCAACAGTTGTCTGTTTTATTTCATTTTAATTCACGAATACTAGTATGCTAGAATATCAGACTCGCGAAAATGTAGATCTATTCTGTCATACGACTGAAATATATCATACGGTATCCGACAGAAAACCATTAAATTATCTTTTTATAATGGTGCGCACGTTCTTCCACGTCCGATGAGTTGACATTACGTTTGGCAAGAAGACGGGGCCATTATGAATGGACCCCTTGATAAGGTACCTGCCATTTTAAGCAGTGTGTTGGTAAGAATCATTTGCAGAACTTTTTTATATACTAAATAAGAGAAAACTCCAAATATATAGGGCAATTTTTTTTCATTGACAGAAAAGAGGAATAAATAAGGCGATATTTTTCGTATCGTGAAATATATAAGTAATATATGATATTAAACGGGAAACAATTAAATATCATTTAGACGTCGAAACACTACTTCTCAAAAATGGGTGGGGGGAATACATGTTCATATTTCGAATCGTGTCATCATTTAAATTAAATTTGCCGGGTAGGATAAATTATTTCAACAAAGTCTAAAACTTAGTTTACGTAATTCTCTTCGAAAATCGCTGTCAAATAAGCTATATACAAGTGGATTGATTAAATAATTGATTATAAAGACTGTGTAACCAAATCGAAACCCAACAATATAGACATCGCCTTGGACTATCCAAGGGTTAACATTAATTATATCCCAAATAATAATTGCAAATGTTGGAATAAAAAGGACACCATAGGCAAAAGTTATTATAAAAAACATGAAGGTAATCCGATACTTCATTTCTGTGACTTTTTTAGACGTATGACGTCGTTGTTTGTCTAATGTAGTCACCGAATTCTTCTCCGTCTCGCTTGTAAAAACGTCAGCATCTGACCACTTTTCGCGGGTAGCGATGCGCTGAAGTCTCCGCTGTCTCACCTCACGTAATTTGTTACCAATACGGGCATAGAGAGTACATAGAAAACACAGATTAATAACACAGATCGCCGAGACTGTGCAATTGTAAACGAGTGATGTCATATTAGAATCATTAACGTTGATGGAAGTACAATACTGTCCGGTGATATTCATAGAGGTGTTCCGAACTGAGGATATGCCAAATGTTACAAAAGCAGGAACACTCGTGCCAGAAGATGCCACAATGATAATTACAATTCCAAACCCTTTTCTCCGTCCAGACATCTGAAATTTGAAAGGCCGACATATCTTCAGAAACCTTTGTGCTGCAATAACTGACAGCATCAATGCAGAGTTCGCCGAAAAGAAATAGGAAACGGTATAAGAACATTTACAAAGAGCATTGTTGGTGTATTGTACCGGATAATAGTTAATGAATAAGCTGCTGATACAACTCGAAACACATGCCAGCATGTCAATCACAGCAAGGTAAGGTATGAAGAAGCGCCCATCCTTGGTATGGCGAAATCGGAACTTATAAATATATATGACAATCGTATTCCCGACAGCGCTCACAATGAGAGAGACAGCCAGAAAGATGCTGTGTGGCAACAGCACACTACGTAGATTCTTGTTCCACTGGAGCAGAAGCTCCTCATCTATTAGTCCTGTCTGGTTCATATTGTACTGAAGGAGAGGGTTCCACAGAAAAAAAAAATATTTGAAACAATGAATCCCTTGTTGTATTGTGTTGTTGACTATAATAGAACTTTTATGGTTACAAAGAGGTCATTCATATGTTGTTCAACAATGTGTACCGTCTCAGTATGTATCGTGTTAAATGTGTTTCACGGTTTGTTTCCTGCTACAGACATTTGAAAGGCGCTGGAAACAGGAAATTCATAACCACGTTCATGATTACTACATCAAGCGGAAAACAACCATTTTCCATTTCCTGGCGTTCTATGGTGTTTTTGTCACGTGGCAGACAAACTGACAGTTAAGTATGTTGTAAGGCTAATTAATAAGCACATTATTCGAAATTTTTTAAAACTCTTGTTGGTGAGATGGGATGATATCAACTCAAGGGAGAACTTGTTAAGTTGTTAAACATGAGGTTAGCCGAGTGTTTGACAACATGTTATTTTTCCTCGAAGGTTGAGATCACTCTCTCATCCTTGTGATTCCCAACGATACGTCGTAAGTAAATATCACAGAACAAATGGTTGTAAAGACTAATGGTTGAAATGGCTAATGGTTGAAATGGTTAATGGTTGAAATGGATAATGGTTGAAATGGCTAACAGTTGTAATGGCTAATGGTTGAAATGACTAATGGTTGAAATGAGTAGTGGTTTTAATAATTGTAAAGACTAATGGTTGCGAAGACTAATGGCTGTAATGACTAATGGTTGTAAAGACTAATGGTTGTACTGACTAATGGTTGAAATGGCTAACAGTTGTAATGGCTAATGGTTGAAATGACTAATGGTTGAAATGGTTGAAATGACTAATGGTTGTAAAGACTAATGGTTGAAATGACTAATGGTTGTAATGACAAATGGTTGGAAATGTTGTAATGACTAATGGTTGTAATGACTAATGGTTGTAATGACTAATGGTTGTAAAGACTAATGGTTGTAATGACTATTGGTTGTAATGACTAATGGTTGTAAAGACTAATGGTTGTGATGACTAATGGTTGTAATGACTAATGGTTGTAATGACTAATGGTTGTAATGACTAATGGTTGTAATGACTAATGGTTGTAAAGACTAATGGTTGTACTAATGGTTGTAATGACTAATGGTTGTAATGACTAATGGTTGTAATGACTAATGGTTGTAATGACTAATGGTTGTAAAGACTAATGGTTGAAATGACTAATGGTTGTAATGACTAATGGTTGTAATGACTAATGGTTGAAATGGTTGTAATGACTAATGGTTGTAAAGACTAATGGTTGAAATGACTAATGGTTGTAAAGACTAATGGTTGAAATGGTTGTAAAGACTAATGGTTGTAATGACTAATGGTTGAAATGGGTAGTGGTTGTAAGGACTAGTGGTTGTAAAGACTTATATTTAATGATTAATAGTTGTAATGGCTAATGGTTGTAAAGACTAATGGTTGTGATGACTAATGGTTGCAAAGACTAATGGTTGTAATGACTAAAGGTTGTAATGACAAATGGTTGTAATGACTAATGGTTGTAAAGACTAATGGTTGAAATGGTTGTAATGACTATTGGTTGTAATGACTAATGGTTGTAATGACTATTGGTTGTAATGACTAATGGTTGTAATGACTAATGGTTGTAAAGACTAATGGTTGAAATGACTAATGGTTGTAAAGACTAATGGTTGAAATGGTTGTAATGACTAATGGTTGTAAAGACTAATGGTTGAAATGGTTGTAAAGACTAATGGTTGTAAAGACTAATGGTTGTAAAGACTAATGGTTGAAATGACTAATGGTTGTAAAGACTAATGGTTGTAAAGACTAATGGTTGTAAAGACTAATGGTTTTAAAGACTAATGGTTGAAATGACTAATGGTTGTAAAGACTAATGGTTGTAAAGACTAATGGTTGTAATGACTAATGGTTGTAATGACTAATGGTTGTAAAGACTAATGGTTGTAATGACTATTGGTTGTAATGACTAATGGTTGTAAAGACTAATGGTTGTAAGGACTAATGGTTGAAATGGTTGTAATGACTAATGGTTGTTAAGACTAATGGTTGAAATAGTTGTAATGACTAATGGTTGTAAAGACTAATGGTTGTAAAGACTAATGGTTGAAATGACTAATGGTTGTAAAGACTAATGGTTGTAAAGACTAATGGTTGTAAAGACTAATGGTTGAAATGACTAATGGTTGTAAAGACTAATGGTTGAAATGGTTGTAATGACTAATGGTTGTAATGACTAATGGTTGTAAAGACAAATGGTTGAAATGACTAATGGTTGTAAAGACTAATGGTTGTAATGACTAATGGTTGTAAAGACTAATGGTTGAAATGGTTGTAATGACTATTGGTTGTAATGGCTAATGGTTGAAATGGTTGTAATGACTAATGGTTGTAAAGACTAATGGTTGTAAAGGTTGTAATGACTAAGAAAACTGTGTCTTATTTTATTGACCATTGGTTGAACAAAGTAAATTGTGATCAGATTGATTATATTCAATATAATTCCGGTACTCTGACTAGACACACTCACAAAATCCCCAGTCCAAACTACGCTAGTCACATAAAACGCACACACCACCCTCACACATACACCACACACACCACACACACACTACACACACACACACACACCACACACACACACCACATACACACAAACACACCACACACACATCACACACACAACACACAGACACACTCTACCCACCCACCCACACACCACACACTATCCACCCACACACCACACACACCACACACACCACCCACACGCACACACCACCCACACACACCACACACACATCACACACACACACATTCACCACACACACCACACACCACACACACGCATACACACACACCACACACACCACACACACACACACCACACACACACACACACACACACACACACACCACCCACACACACACACCACCCACATACACACACACCACCCACATACACACACAAAACCCACACAAACACACACCACACACACAACACACACAGATACACACTACCCACCCACTCACACACCACACACACTACCCACACACCCACACACCACACACACCACACACCACCCGCGCGCACACACCACACACACACACCACACACACCAAACACACATTCACCACACACACCACACCACACACACACACACACACTCACAAACACACCCACCAAACACACCGCACACATAACACACATACACCGCCCACACACACACACCACACACATACACCGCCCACCCACACACACACCACACACACCACACACACACAAACACACACACAGACACACACACAGACACACACACACACTCCTCCATAGGGATTTTGCATCCTTCACGGGTATGTATCCTGTTAAGTTCATATCACCTGATTAATATGGAGCTCACCTGTACTGAATTGATATGGAGCTCACCTTTATTGAATTGATGTGGAGCTCACCTTTACTGAATTGATGTGGAGCTCACCTTTACTGGATTGATGTGGAGCTCACCTGTACTGAATTGATGTGGAGCGTACCTGTACTAGATTGATGTGGAGCTCACCTGTACTGGATTGATGTGGAGCATACCTGTACTAGATTGGTGTGGAGCTTGTGTACTAGATTGATGTGGAGCTCACCTGTACTGAATTGATGTGGAGCGTACCTGTACTAGATTGATGTGGAGCTCACCAGTACTGAATTGATGTGGAGCTTACCTGTACTGAATTCATGTGGAGCTCACCTGTACTGAATTGATGTGGAGCGCACCTGTACTGAATTGATGTGGAGCTCACCTGTGCTGAATTAATGTGGTGCTTACCTGTACTGAATTGATGTGGAGCTCACTTGTACTGAATAGATGTGGAGCTCACCTATACTGGATTTATGTAAAACTCACCTGTACTAAATTGATGTAGAGCTCACCTGTACTAGATTGGTTGAGCTCACCTGTACTAAATTGATCTGGAGCTCACCTGTACTAGATTGGTGTGAAGCTCACATGTACTTGATTGATGTGGAGCTCACCTGTACTGAATTGATGTGGAGCGTACCTGTACTAGATTGATGTGGAGCTCACCTATACTGAATTGATGTGGAGCTTACCTGTACTGAATTGATGTGGAGCTTACCTGTACTGAATCGATGTGGAGCTTACCTGTACTGAATTCATGTGGAGCTCACCTGTACTGAATTGATGTGGAGCGCACCTGTACTGAATTGATGTGGAGCTCACCTGTACTGAATTGATGTGGAGCTCACCTGTACTGAATTGATGTGGAGCTCACCTGTACTGAATTGATGTGGAGCTCACCTGTACTGAATTGATGTGGAGCTCACCTGTGCTGAATTGATCTGGAGCTCAACTGTACTGATTTGATGTAAAATTCACAATAACTGGATTGATGTGGATCTCATTAAACATTACAAGAAGCAGATTTAAAGGTTCCTAAGATATCGCATTTGTACACAAAAGTTGATGGGTCAGCAACGAGGTAACTTGGCTTATAACTTATATCAATGGTACGATTTTAAAATCATTGTTAGGTATTCTAAAACCGTTTTACCCGTGTTACCGTATAACCTGTTTTCCAAATGATAATCAGATTACCCCTGTAGAAAAGGCCATTAGAGCTCAGAGTGTCTAACACATTTGTAATGTAAATATGATAGACTTTTCGGTTTAACTTGTAGTTGTTGTTCTAGTTTAACTTGTAGCTGTTGTTTTAGTTTGACATGTAGTTGTTGGTTTGGTTATCCGGTGCTTGTTGTTTTAGGATGACCTGTAGTAGTTGTTGTGGGATGACCTGTACTTGTTGTTTTGTTTGACCTGTAGTTGTTGTTTTAGGATGACCTGTACTTGTTGTTTTAGGATGACCTGTAGTAGTTTTGTTTGACCTGTAGTTGATTGATGACTGAATGTGTCTACTTAATTTTGATGATTCTTGTACAGACAGTTATGTGGTTATGTGTGTAGATGTGTAATATTAGATTCACTGGGGAACCCTCAAAGTACATGTACTGTATCTAATGTAGATTACATTTACTGAAATATTTCAACATATAAATCTGTTCAATTTTAGTAGGTTCTATAGCATGAATGATGTATACATGTGCTACATCATTTTTGTGATTTGAATACAATGTTTATCAATATGATAAAATGTTCAACAGAAAATTGAAATCGACAACTGATTTTAAAAATCATGAAGGTATCATTTGGTTGTCTGTAGTTGATACTAAAACCAATGGTTAGTATTGTATCATTTCTACTTGACAAATACTTCCTAATACTTAGTGAGTTCCAGTTATGTAAATGTGAAAAATATTTCCTTGTAACTTATAACCAAATTAAAACGTGTGTTTTTTTATTTAAATTTATTTTCTTCAGTAATAATACGCCAGGAAATACATTAAATCTCAAATATGAAAATATGTCAAATATCTGACGCAATTGTCACTGTTATGAAATATATTGAATTAAAACATGTGTATTCATGTATTTTGATGAAATGATTAGAAGTTTGATAAGATAGCTCTCTCAGCTTGACTTTTTTTCCAGAATTTCGCGATTAAAAGAAGAATGCACAAAAGTAAGAAGGTTTTGGCAATAAAGTATTTATTTCAAAATCTAATAATAAACACAAACACATGTACAATTTGTGGTTGGAGAGAAGACGAAATAAAACCAGCATCTATACAATGAAATTAGCATCTATATATACCAATTCCAGGAGGAATTATGAACATTTACATATCTGTTACAGGGTATAATCTGTATATGCTGTTATTTACTAATAGCTTATTACAACTATATACATAAAGGGGGCTTATTAATGGTTAAATGTATTTGGTTTTATGGGTCAAGCCACCTTAATGAACAGTGTACATATATATGGATTTATCATATGTTTTAGTGTTGTGTATTACGTCATGTCAATTAAGTATGCATGTTTTGACACTTCCACACGAGATACACGCTGCGACCGTTGTGATCAGCTCGCCGTATACAATATATGCACCACACCCGCACCTAGTCGTACTTTGATATTACACCTATGTCCCAAAGGGAATTTATAGGAAACCTCTGCACCACAGTTGTAAGGTAAGTGTCTGTTGTAAATGTGTTATATAACTAATTCTAGTTATTTAGTAATTAGTTTCAAATTATCTGTTTAATTATATATTTTACTATCCAGTTACGCTCTGTAGCCCATGTAGCCGGTTATTAATGAAATAAACTACTAGTTCGTATTGTTCTAGTCCGGTAAAGTTTGGTTGTTCAGAGCTGTAACGTATAACATTTATTCAACATTTCTAATTATGTAATTTCGTTGGTTAACGTAAGTCTGTTATAAGAGTTATTTCCCTTGTTTAAACACGGTCAGGTCTATAGTATATACATGTATGTGTCGGAGTTAATTGTCTTTTTGTATTTTACATTGCAGGTTTTTTTCTGTTATTCATCATGGGGCAATGAAATGCCGTGAGAATCCACCCAGTGGTCCGTGTGTTTATTTGTAATAATTCAAGACTTGTAACATATCTTATGAGACAATATTTTTCCTTAATGACTTACACTTTTCAAAAACAAGGAAACAGGCAACGACAACATTAAGGACATACAACTAACAAAGTAACAGCCAATATATATGACAACGATTTTATACATTATCGTAAATAAACTTGTTCAATAAAACATATCAAATTGCTTACTTCAGCAGTTATTGATGTTGTTTAACATAATATTTAAGTAATTCTGTCGAATTGACGCATACCCTAAACTGCCAAATACAACAAAATATAGGTGACAGGTGTATTCTGACAATGGCTGCGCCAAAACTAGGATAAATTACAATCTCCGATAAATTAAAGATAAATAAGAAAACAGTAACAATACTGTAATTTCGGTTGATATATTGTTACATCGACCCTATTTAAGTGTTATATTTGTTTAAAATATAAATTTCAAATGCATTATTTCGTACTTTCTACAGGATGTATAAATTATTAGCTCTCTTTTATACTTCTTATACAAGCTACTTATCAAAACTATATATTCAGTAGCGCAGAGTGCTTACACAATGTTTGCAGAAACAACGGGAAAACATATCTTTAGAATGAGATACAACAGAGCCCAATGATAAGTTAAACGGCAGCATACAACGGTTTCGTCCTCGTTAGTGATACTTTGTGCCTAAAGTATCAAAACCTAGGAGGAAACGTAGAAAACAATAAAATTGACAAAAATATACGTCAAAATATATAAGGAAGTACTATATCGCAATCAAGAAATTTCATATCTTTCAATATGTGATAATTTCAAAAGAACGTCAAATGTATGCGTACCAGTTTTCAGAGGAATCAAAGGTTCATGCGGGCAAACAAAATAATGTGCAACATTAAACATTTCGACAAAATCTTGGAATCAGTTTCTGTAATTCTCCCCGAAAATCAGAGTCAAATAAGCTATACACAAGTGGATTGATTAAATAATTGATGATAAAAACAGTGTAACTAAACCGAAACCCGACAACATAGGCATCACCTTTGGTAAGCCATGGATTAACATCAATAATGTCCCATAAAATGGTTACAAACGTTGGAATAAAGAAGACACTAAAGGCGAATGTTATAATGAAATACATCAGGGTCACCTGGTTCCCCATTTCTGTGACATTTTTAGACGTATGACGTCGTTGTTTGTCTAATGTATTCACCGAATTCTTCTCCGTCTCGCTTGTAAAAACGTCAGCATCTGACCACTTTTCGCGGGTAGCGATGCGCTGAAGTCTCCGCTGTCTCATCTCACGTAATTTGTTACCAATACGGGTATAGAGAGTACATAGAAAACACATATTAATAACACAGATCGCCGAGACTGTGCAATTGTAAACGAGTGATGTCATATTAGAACCATTAACGTTGATGGAAGCGCAATACTGTCCGGTGATATTCATAGATGTGTTCCGAATTGAGGATATTCCAAATGTTACAAAAGCAGGAACACTCATGCCAGAAGATACCACAATGATAATTACAATTCCAAACCCCTTTCTCCGTCCAGACATCTGAAATTTGAAAGGCCGGCATATCTTCAGAAACCTTTGTGCTGCAATAACTGACAGCATCAATGCAGAGCTTGTCGAAAAAAAGTAGCAAAGGGCATAGGAAACCTTGCACAGAACATTGCTAGGATATAGAACCGGGTTGAAATTTATTAGTAAACTAGTAGCACAGCCCACGAAGCATGCCAACATATCCATTCCGGCAAGGTACGGCATAAAGAAGCGTCCGTCCGTATTGTGATGAAATCTGATCTGATAAATGTAAATGACAGCCATATTTCCGAGAACACATACAATAAAGTAGACAACCAAAAGGATGCTGTGTGGCAACAGCACAACACGTAGTCTAGTGTTCCACTGGCGGAGAAGCTCATATTCTGTTAGTCCTGTGTGGTTCATGTTGTACTGAGGGAGAGGGTCCTCTCAGAAATTATTTAGATAACAAATTCACTCTAGTAGATTGTTCAAACGTTTTTTCTTCTTATTTGTTCTTTCTTTAATCTTGGTAGTATGGTATCAGCAAGATTGACGTATGGGCAATTTTAACTTGACACGCACTGACTGTCGATATTTATGGCTGGTCTAGAATGAATTTCCAGCTATATTCCCTGGTAATCAGGAAGGACAGTCATCTATATGTACTAGTATTCCTATAGAATGAAAAACGTGTGAAAACTGCATACTCCTATTACGCTACGTGATGACTACATCAAATTGAGAATGTTTCGATTTCCTTATTGTTTTCATCCCTTTAGTTTTTAATTTTCTCTCCTTTTTCACCTTTTTTCTCTATTTTTTTTAAATTTCTTTTTTCTTATATCCTGATTCGATCAGATCTCGTATATATTAACTTTCTGGATCGGCTTATATAAAGCAAAATTCATTCGTTGAAAATGTCTCTTTAGTTTCTTTTTTTCCAATCCACGTTCAAAGAAACATGTTATATAGTATTACTAAAAAAAGACGAGGATGTCGAGCATGTAAACGTCATCACGTTATTCAATAAGCTCACCAATATAGACCTAGGGTATAATAGCAACACTGAAATGTCGTCTTTTGTGAAGTTTGTCTGGACTATTCCAGGCTCCTTTAACCGATTTGGTACCAAACCGTACTTGGTCAGTATCCAAGGAAATTCTACTTTGTGGGTTAATGTCGGCTATTTTATTAGTGAATCGTGTTTCTTCGAGCATTGTGCAAAAGACGCATAAGTGAATAGTGCCTTTCAATAAAGAATTAGATACGACAGAGCCAAATTTTTAATCTGCGTGCTTATTTCTCTGACTCGTCGGTGACGCTAAAGGGCCTAAATTTTGAAACTTATGAGGCGAATATCAACTTGTACAACGTGTCTATAGTCCGCTTGTAATAAATGAGATGTCTTGTCAATGTAATGTTTACAATTAACTTTGTTTATCACCAAGGACCTTTATTGAAAGGAGTGATTGTAATTCTAAAACAACGGTCTTCTTCCGGAATCCTGAATTTATTCGATATACATTTCTCTCAAATGAAAGTGTCTTCATTAACTTCATAATGAATTGCGTCTTAAGTCAAAATGCATAAAGTGAACAACACCCTCTTGTGGTAAAGTGCAAGTGTTCCTTTTTAACTTGAAGTTGTGTGAAGTGAGAAAACACAGTCATTGTGCTTGAAATATTAGTGTATTCATCCTCTTGCATTTCTTTATTATAATGTGCACAGTTCAATCAGTATGTCGTTCGTTCGTTCGTTGCTGGCGGTGTTGCATGTCATATTCAACGTACCAGCACGTCATTCGGTCTTTTGAACAATCTTTTGTATGTAGTAGACGTCAGAACACACCTTTATTACTACTATCGTTTGTATGGCAAGTTAAGTTGTCGTATTAGGTATAAATAGTGTATCATATGTAGGACGTTTACGTTCATTGTGATATTGCTGTCTTTTTACTCGTTTAGTTGGCTAAGTACGGAAAACGCGCCAAATCGAATGGAATCTGGCTTTCGGAAATACTTGGTCGTTTTCTTTAGCTGCTATGTAACCTTTCATTTTCGACCGTTGTTGTTAGATATAACCCAATTTATTGTAAATTATAGTTTATGTGTTGCTTATTTTTCTGTTATTCAACTCATTAATTAACAAATTTAAAAATATGAGAAAAAATCATAGAATTAATCATTTTTGTAGGTAAACATATTGATAAAGGGGATGTGATGTGTATCAAACTGGTGATCCGTAACGCATGAATTACAGAAGGATTGTACTTTTGTTAAAAATGAGTTAGATGTATCATTTGGTTATATGTTTTGTGTCGTGAGAAGGAGACGTATAACAAAGCTATGTTGTGTGTCGTGAGAAGGAGATGTATAACCTAGTTATATGTTGTGTGTCGTGAGAAGGAGATGTATAACCTAGTTATATGTTGTGTGTCGTGAGAAGCAGATGTATAACCTAGTTATATGTTGTGTGTCGTGGGAAAGAGATGTATAACAAAGCTATACTGTGTGTCGTGAGAAGCAGATGTATAACCTAGCTAGATGTTGTGTGTCGTGAGAAGGAGATGTATAACAAAGCTATGCTGTGTGTCGTGAGAAGGAGATGTATAACCTAGTGATATGTTGTGTGTCGTGAGAAGCAGATGTATAACCTAGCTATATGTTGTGTGTCGTGAGAAGGAGATGTATAACCTAGTTATATGTTGTGTGTCGTGAGAAGGAGATGTATAACCTAGTTATATGTTGTGTGTCGTGAGAAGGAGATGTATAACCTAGTTATATGTTGTGTGTCGTGAGAAGGAGATGTATAACCTAGTTATATGTTGTGTGTCGTGAGAAGGAGATGTATAACAAAGCTATGTTGTGTGTCGTGAGAAGCAGATGTATAACCTAGTTATATGTTGTGTGTCGTGTCGTGGGAAGGAGATGTATAACAAAGCTATGTTGTGTGTCGTGAGAAGCAGATGTATAACCTAGCTATATGTTGTGTGTCGTGTCGTGGGAAGGAGATGTATAACAAAGCTATGTTGTGTGTCGTGAGAAGCAGATGTATAACCTAGCTATATGTTGTGTGTCGTGTCGTGGGAAGGAGATGTATAACAAAGCTATGTTGTGTGTCGTGAGAAGCAGATGTATAACCAAGTTATATGTTGTGTGTCGTGAGAAGGAGATGTATAACCTAGCTAGATGTTGTGTGTCGTGAGAAGGAGATGTATAACCTAGTTAAGCGTGAGAAGGAGATGTATAACAAAGCTATGTTGTGTGTCGTGAGAAGCAGATGTATAACCTAGCTAGATGTTGTGTGTCGTGTCGTGGGAAGGAGATGTATATCAAAGCTATGCTGTGTGTCGTGAGAAGGAGATGTATAACCTAGTTATATGTTGTGTGTCGTGTCGTGGGAAGGAGATGTATAACAAAGCTATGTTGTGTGTCGTGAGAAGCAGATGTATAACCTAGCTATATGTTGTGTGTCGTGTCGTGGGAAGGAGATGTATAACAAAGGTATGTTGTGTGTCGTGAGAAGCAGATGTATAACCTAGCTATATGTTGTGTGTCGTGTCGTGTGTGTGTGGGAAGGAGATGTATAAGGAGATGTATAACAAAGCTATGTTGTGTGTGTCGTGAGAAGGAGATGTATAACCTAGTTATATGTTGTGTGTCGATGTATAACCTAGAATGTTGTGTGTCAAGATGTATAACCTAGCTATAACCTAGCTAGATGTTGTGTGTCGTGGGAAGGAGATGTATAACAAAGCTATGTTGTGTGTCGTGAGAAGGAGATGTATAACCTAGCTATATGTTGTGTGTCGTGAGAAGGAGATGTATAACTTAGCTATATGTTGTGTGTCGTGAGAAGGAGATGTATAACCTAGTTATATGTTGTGTGTCGTGAGAAGCAGATGTATAACCTAGTTATATGTTGTGTGTCGTGTCGTGGGAAGGAGATGTATAACAAAGCTATGTTGTGTGTCGTGTGTCGTGAAGGAGATGTATAACCTAGTTATATGTTGTGTGTCGTGAGAAGGAGATGTATAACCTAGTTATATAACAAAGCTATGTTGTGTGTCGTGTCCTAGTAGATGTTGTGTGTCGTGAAGGAGATGTATAACCTAGCTAGATGTTGTGTGTCGTGAGAAGGAGATGTATAACCTAGCTAGATGTTGTGTGTCGTGAGAAGGAGATGTATAACAAAGCTATGTTGTGTGTCGTGGGAAGGAGATGTATAACCTAGCTATATGTTGTGTGTCGTGGGAAGGAGATGTATAACAAAGCTATGCTGTGTGTCGTGAGAAGGAGATGTATAACAAAGCTATGCTGTGTGTCGTGAGAAGGAGATGTATAACCTAGTTATATGTTGTGTGTCGTGTGAAGGAGATGTATAACCTAGCTATATGTTGTGTGTCGTGAGAAGGAGATGTATAACCTAGTTATATGTTGTGTGTCGTGAGAAGGAGATGTATAACCTAGTTATATGTTGTGTGTCGTGAGAAGGAGATGTATAACAAAGCTATGTTGTGTGTCGTGGGAAGGAGATGTATAACCTAGCTATATGTTGTGTGTCGTGGGAAGGAGATGTATAACAAAGCTATGTTGTGTGTCGTGGGAAGGAGATGTATAACCTAGCTATATGTTGTGTGTCGTGAGAAGGAGATGTATAACCTAGCTAGATGTTGTGTGTCGTGAGAAGGAGATGTATAACCTAGTTATATGTTGTGTGTCGTGAGAAGGAGATGTATAACCTAGTTATATGTTGTGTGTCGTGAGAAGGAGATGTATAACCTAGCTATATGTTGTGTGTCGTGAGAAGGAGATGTATAACCTAGTTATATGTTGTGTGTCGTGAGAAGGAGATGTATAACCTAGTTATATGTTGTGTGTCGTGAGAAGGAGATGTATAACCTAGTTATATGTTGTGTGTCGTGAGAAGGAGATGTATAACCTAGTTATATGTTGTGTGTCGTGAGAAGGAGATGTATAACCTAGCTATATGTTGTGTGTCGTGAGAAGGAGATGTATAACCTAGCTATATGTTGTGTGTCGTGAGAAGGAGATGTATAACCTAGCTATATGTTGTGTGTCGTGAGAAGGAGATGTATAACCTAGCTATATGTTGTGTGTCGTGAGAAGGAGATGTATAACCTAGTTATATGTTGTGTGTCGTGAGAAGGAGATGTATAACCTAGTTATATGTTGTGTGTCGTGGGAAGGAGATGTATAACCTAGCTAGATGTTGTGTGTCGTGAGAAGGAGATGTATAACAAAGCTATGTTGTGTGTCGTGGGAAGGAGATGTATAACCTAGCTATATGTTGTGTGTCGTGGTGTATAACAAAGCTATGAAGGAGATGTATAACCTAGCTATGTTGTTGTGTGTCGTGGGAAGGAGATGTATAACCTAGCTATATGTTGTGTGTCGTGAGAA